CCAGTTTTAAAGATGTCAAATGAGCTTCCCAAAGTCACACAGAAGAACAACAAAAAAGGTCTCTCTGACACTGAGGAACTATCAGGTAGAAATTTACCCAACACAAAGATGTGCCTCTGCATAAATGACTACAACACCAACAAAAAACATAGCTAGTAAGAGGCAAGCCCAAGCACTGAACCAGATCTGCCTGGTTCTTTTCACTCTAGTTAACTCTCTGACAAACATTATAATAAAATCCTTTATGAGGCTTTATCTTATAATTACCCACCTGTCTTTCTCTAATTAGATTTAATTCTCCTAAATTCCATATAACTCCAACTAGAAGTCTGTGAAATCTTTATATTCAATTCATATATTCACACGCTATATTGACATAGCCCCCTCCATCTAAGTGACAAGTACAGAGAGGTCTGAAGATACAACAGCAAAGAAGGCAGATACTACTCTGTCCTAAGAGCGATTATATTTTAGAACCACCTTCTGTGAAGAATTGCATAGTTAATATTTTAAGCTTTCCAGATTGTAGGGTCACTGTTTCAACAATAAAACTCTGTCATTACAATATAAAAGCAGCTGAACATAATACATAAAGAAAGGAGTTTGGCTGTGTTCCAATAAAACTTTATTTATAAAAGCAAGCTGTGGGCCAGATTTGGTCCCTAGGACTTTTTTGATTATGGTCTACAGAAAGACACAGAAAAGTAGTCAAGTAGTTAGTAACACATTGTTGTTAATTAATCAAATTAAAAAAACAGACTTCCTGATCTCACAGACTGTGTTCTTATACTGACTATATAAAAAGAGGAAGCAGAGTAAACCTATGCCATATACACCTCTACACCTCAGGCTAGGCCTTTGTCTGGTCTGTATTGTGAATAGGGAGACATGGGATGGGGGAAAAAAAGAAAAACTACAGTGAGTTCTAGGAATATATTTCAGGGAAACTTAAGCCAAATTGGGAAAGAGGCTGTCATCTGAGAAATGCAGATCAAAGCCAGCTCTAGCAGAAAAGTCCATGAGGAGCCACTTATCTCCAAAAACAGTCAGAAATGGAGCTGTGGCTCAAGTGGTAGAGCAGTAACCTTGAGCAATAAAGCTCAGGGACAATGCCCAGGTCCGGAATTACAACCCTAGGATGAGAGGAAAGAAGGAAGGAAGGAAGGAAAGAAGGAAGGAAGGAAGGAAGGAAGGAAGAAAGGAAGGAAGGAAGGAAGGAAATGAGAGAGAAAGAAAAGAAAACAAATGGCTTCTAAGAAGAAGCTACATTCTCAAAGCAACTTGTGGAGGAATAGGAATTAGCTCAATACAAGTTTCCATTACCTTCTGCTTATTTTAATCATACTTCCCTTTAATCATATTTCTCATGTGTAATTAGTTTTTCTTAGTTTGCTTGTATTTTCTCTTTTATCAAAATAATTAAAGCACTTTCCCTTCCCTTCCACAAATACATCAGAGTTTTCCTTCAGTCTATCTCATTTTAGATTTTACTCAATCTATCAATAGTCTTGCAAAACTGAACTTAGATAAATTTTTGTGAGTTTTCCTTCAGTCTATTTCATTTTAGATTTTACTCAATCTATCAGTAGTCTTGCAAAACTGAACTTAGATAAATTTTTGTGGTATGGAGGTCATATAACTAAAATATACCAAAAATATAAATAAAGCCAGCAGCTTGACTCCCAGTAATGCTCAAAGGATGAATGTACTTTGATGAAGCCAGCACAAACCAGAGTCTGGGGAAAAAAAACAACTTTATTTTAATCTCAAAGAAATCCTCACAGATAAAGCCTCACAAAACATAATCTTATAGCTGAGACTCAGAAGTACACATGAGAGAGAAAAATAATAGTAAACTTAACCTATAGTAACTTCAGCTGTTAAAAACAAAATATAAAATTATATTGAATGTAAAGTCAGACGTGAGCAAGAAGTAATGCCATAAAATTACCAAGTAAATCAGGAAATAAATAATGAAACTTCTAGATATGTACTAATAAACGGATTAAGAACAAATTAAACCCAACTCAAAAAATAATTCATAATTTGGATCAGATAGACTGAGCAACAGATTAATTCTCTACCGAGAAATTGAGAATTTGAAGGTCCAAATGAAGAATCAAGTACTAACACAGATATGCAAGGAGGCAGACTATATGAAAAAGGCATAAAATATACAAGAAATATATAACAAAGGGAATGTGAACACATCAAACATCAAATTGGAATGCATAATTACTGAATGAATGCCAACCTCCATAAAAATCAGGAGCTCACTTGCAAGTGAAAAATTCTTCCTTGTTCACTCTGCTTGGCCAAGTTACAAAGATGAAAATATTTTCCACTCCTTATAGAGGTCACTGATGTGCAAAGGAACCAGGGTATTTGTGAACCATTACACTAGTTGGGTTTCAAAATCCAGGGAATACTGTGAACAAACATTCTGTCCAATTTTAAATTTCTTTGTCCACTAAGTTTGTGTGTTTCTTTTCCCAACATTATTTCACTGTTTGTAGTAAAAACCAGAACACACTGGAATCTAAGCTTTAGGGTCATATTGGAAACCCTCAACATCTAGTACAGTGTTGAATGCAGTGGTGATTATATATGGAAGGTTATTGATTGACAAACAGCATGATAATATCAACAGCACCAGGAAATAAGCATGTTTATTAAAAGTGACATTTGAAAGAAACCAACCCAATAATGTCTTTTCAGGCCTTGAAATAAAATTGGACTCAGCAGATGCAATCCTAATTCAGATATCTCCATTATATAAGAATATAATCTTAGTTAACATTTCAGGATCATGTACTATTACCAGAAAGTATTTCAAACATGTGAGGAGAAGAAAGCAAGAATTTTTCTTTATCCGAGTTGGTTTCAATCTACATAACTGCAAACAAATTGCTTGTATTCTCTAAATGAACCTATATGAATGAACCTAAATGAATCCTATACCCAGTGTGTTTTATGATTACAAGTATAATATCAAAAAGTTACAAAAGATAAAGAAAATAAAATGAATATTGTTTCACTTTAATGTAGTTAAAGTGGATTGTTTGAGGTTTTTAAAGTCCTGTTTTGCTGAACCCAGCAAAAAAAAATATCTATGAAAGTCCAACTGATAACCATGGGAAAATTGCAAGAAAATTGTTTCTTGTTTGATCCAGTTTTGTCTGTTCCCCATTGAAGGGTGTGAATCTACCACTTATAATATAGCCTGGACATCAGGGCAGTGAGTTTAAAAACAAAACAAAGCTGGTGCTGGCTGGGCACCAGTGGCTCATGCTTGGAATCCTAGCTATTCAAAAAGCTGAGATCTGAGGATCATGGTTCAAAACCAGCTGGGGCAGGAAGTCTGTGAGACTCTTATCTCCAATAAAATGGCGAAAAACTGAAAGTGGCAATGTGGCGCTGTGGCAGACCACCAATCTTGAGCAAAAAACTACAAGGAGAGTGAAAGAGCATGACTACTGGCAAAACAAGACAAAAACAAAGTGCTGCAACACCGACAATGAGCTCATTAAATACCCATAGATGCCTGATTTCTGAATTCAATCAGAATGATTCTGATTTGACAGTTGTGAGAAAAATCTCACAGATATGAAGATACAGGTTCATCAAGTGAAATGTACACATAGCCCAGAATCTTCCTAGCAACACTTGTTCTTAGGACAAATAGATCCATGAGCCCTCCTTTCCCACCAGATTCTGAGAATCATCGCTGGGCCAGAGAAAGTAGACTGATTTACAAGGATTTGGTTTGGTTTGAATCCCCGAAAAGACTTGGATCTCTTGCCATAATCAGAAGGATAGATTAGAGTCATCATAATTTCCAGACAGGGAGTTAACTGCTATTTATTTTGAGAGCTAACAATTGATTTAAGAGCACCATGAATTTAAACAAATTATTTTCAAGGATCTACTCCTTCCTCTTCCCCAATGAATGAATGAATCTTACCATTTTACAGTTGTTATGGAAATGGGCCATTTTCCCTTGGCGTTTGACTTCAGATTTCGTTTCAAGAATGAGAAAAAAGAGGATAGGAAAAGCAGATGTCTGTCAGCTTTTTTACCTAACCTGAAGAGAAGGTGGTCAATTTATTTGTTTACTTGGTTGCACAATAGCCAATAAGACAGACTCAAGGGCTTTTTACATCAAAGCTCCATACTGAGTGGCCAAAATCAGGGAGGTGGAGAAGATACGTCAGCATTTTTTTATAAAATCCACTTTAATTTACTCTTACTTTGAAACATGCCTTTAAAGCATTGTTTAACAATATGTCCTTAACAGATCATTATAGGTGATCCTAACTATTACTAAGGATCCTATTACTAAGGCACACAGTTTTGTCATTTCTACTTAATGTACAAACCACATGCATTTACCTTCACTCAGAAGAGAAAAACATTCAACATCTGTTCATCAACAGAATTTCCCTTCTTACTGAACTTCACACACTCCAAACTGAAGAGTTAAATAAGTATGGATACATATATATGGATTTATATAATATATTTTACTACATATGCTATAGTAGATGTAGTATATTGTATACTAAGTACTATATATATGCTATATATAGTATATATATTATACATATGGCATATAGTATGTTGTACATGTATTATACTATATACTATACTGTAACATATACAGTAAAGTATACTATATAATATACAAAATACACTAAAATGTATTGCATATATTTAAGTGGAATATGTATGCAGTATATGTAAAGAGGTTATATATGAGATACATATTTTTTCTCCATTTTTCCTCTTAGAACTTTTTGATGATTTTTGCAAACGAGCCAACAATTGAGCACAAAGGGCTTTGGAGTCACGCTGGGTGTTGTGACAGAATCACATGTTTACATGGGATTAGTCTACTCTGAAAGTGCCTGAACTGAGAACTGCAGAGTTGAATAGAGTCAAATGTTGGAGCCAGCCCAACCTGAGAGAGATTTAAAGCTTAGACTCCACAACCTATGGGGAAAGTTCCCTGCTGTGACATGGAATAAGGGTAACAGAAAAATGAGAGCAAGACTTGTAAAGACAATCCTGGTTTTGCTCTTTCTTAGCCTGTTTGGAATCCTGGAGGCATCAACAATATCGTGCAGAAATGAAGAAGGTGAAGATGTGGATTGGTAGGTAAATGTAATGTAAAGATTGATACATGCAGAATGAAAGCCAGAGTGTTGGAGGCTATCTGGCTGGCTGTGATGTCCCTAAGGAAAACTTTCCTGTCACCTCCTGACTTTAGAAGGAAAGAGGCTTGAAGTGTGACAATGGGCTCAGTTTCCAGACAGGGATCTGCTTCTATTGTCCCTGAGAAAGTACTGAGCAGCTATCTGGGGATGTCATTGGCTATTCTCAGCAGGACACAGCTGTGGGCTCAGAGTGGGACTGCACTGACAACTTCTGACAGCTGGCAATTTCTTTTATTTACATATGGTTTTTCCTAACAGTACCGTTTCAACATCCTTTCTGAGACTGGCGGATGACTTTTCTTCTGAAGCTGATGCGTGCTCTTCTTATGAAGGAGGAGGTCATGATGACGCACAGCGCTGTTTGGTTAACCTTGGTTTGTTGGTCAGTACAGGCAGTTAGTTGTTGGAGTGGCTGGGAGGTCACTTGCCACTTGTACGGTAGTAAAGAGACCAATCAGAGTTGCATTATACCCATGGCTTCTCCTATAGCTTTGGTCACTTTTCTGCTCTTTAACTAGGGTGTTTAAGATTGTCATGATGGCTGGCACCAAGGTCTGTGTGACCTTCCGGCTAGAGAACACAGATCTGTTCACTCAGTCTGTCAGCACTTCCTGCACTCCTGCCTGGGCCTGTGCTGAGTTTTGAAGATACAATGTGAACAAAACAGAGTTCTTACCCTGAAGGATCTTACAGCTGTATCAGAAAGGTATAGGTAGAGAAATAAGGGAGCATATAATCCAGATGACTTCTCTAAGGAAGTAGTTTTTGAACTAAATTGTAAGAACAAGTATGAAGTCAGAAAAAAAAGATGTAAAACCATCTCAGGCTAATAAAGATCAAAAAGGTAGTACAGAGGCAAAATGCTAAAACTTTGGGAAAATGTGCAGAAATAACAGGAGGTAAGGTTAAAAAGGAAGGTCAGAATCAGAGGGTTACTCATGCATCAGGAAGATTGATACTATGTCACTTGCAGGGAAATGGATGAACCTAGAAAAAAAATCATGTTAAGTCAAGCTCAGAGGGACAAAAGATGTATGCTTTCTCCCATAGCTAGAATTTAGACCTAAATTGTTTATATATATATATATATATATATATATATATATATATAAACATGTACAAGGTCATATGCATATCTACACAAACATGTGGTATATGCAGAGGAGGACTCCAATGGTGTAACTTCTTTAAACAACTAATGTACATTTTAACAGTCACAGACAGCAATAGGACTTTGGCAGTATTGCAGGTGAGAGAGAATGTAAATGGGTGGTTGTAAAGTGCAACAGTTTACTAAGTGGTTAACTAGGAAGCTGGAACATATGTTAGGGGAGGGGAGTGTTATAGTCTGGGAGAATGGAATCGACCAATTGAGAGATGAAGTCTGAAGACTACAGTCCTAATGGTCAATGGATACATGTGAAAATGTAACTAGGTAAATTGAGGGCATGGATGAGGTTGGGAGAGATAGAGAGAATGATGAAAGGGATGACATCCATCAAGGTGCATTGTGTTCACAAACTGACATGTTGAATTGAAACCCACTTGTACAATTACTTAATGATCATTTAAAACTAAGTTAATTTAAAAATATGCTCAAATTAAAAGAAGAAGAAGATCTGGATGGTAAGGAACTTCCTGGGCTGAGCTTTGGGGTTTGAACTTACAACAGGGAGCTAATGAAAGGCTTTGAATGTGAGGTGAGAACTTGTCAGCTTCACATTTTAGGGTGCCCATTGGCAGCACTATGAATGGTGGATGGAAGGGAACCAGTCTATAGTTACAGACAGCAATACGAGTTTTGCAGTATCACATGTAAGACAATATGAAAACTTGAGTTAAACAGGGGGTAGTGAAAACACATTCTTGAAAGACTTAATAGGGGACAGGCAGATGGAGTGGAGAAAGAATTATAAGAAAGACTTAAGTTTCTGGTTTACGAGTCTGTGTAGTTATTTCTCTAGTAGAATGGGATGAGAAGATTTGTAGCAAAATGTTGCAAACTTGACTTTAAAATATAGATTCGGAAATTTCTGGAATATCTTTTTGTTTGAGTTTATCTGGACCTCAACATAGAAGTCTGGACTAGAAAAAGATAAATATAATTGAAGATGGTCACCTTCAAAAAGTGTTTAAGAGTACTGCCATAACACATTAATAATCCTCCAATGCTTCACTGGTAGTCTACCAAAAGTGATTTATAAATCATTTATTTCCTTGAGACAAAGTCTCACATTGTAGCCCAGACTGGCCTGGAACTCACAATCCTCCTACCTCTAGCTCCTAACTGTTGAGATTAGAGGTGAATACCACCGATGTCCATCACAAAATTTGTTTTTGCTACAATTGAATATATATATATATATATATATATGTATGTATATTCATTGGCCATACATATGTCAGAGAATATAAGCAACTTGATGCTTAGCAGCTACAAATTACTAAAAAAACAAAAAGTTAAAGTGCAGAGGCCATCATATCAGCAACAAAGAATAATTGCCTGTTGCCTGCCACATGCAAGGACTTGGGTCTGTGAGAAGAGGACGACAGGAATAGGTATGTTCAAATAGAAGCATATGACTGAAGAAAATAGTGAGTATGAAGCTCTTAGGAGCAGACAGTATGTGTATTATAATATTTAGTTCACTGCGATTTTAGGGGTTAATTGTAGGGTTCATGTTACTAGAGAATATTTGGCTAGATCAGTGATTCTCAAATTAGGGCAATTTTGCCCTTGGGGGATTTTGACATGGTTTAGAGATACTTTCTATTGTTGTAATTTTGGAATACTATTGGTACCTAGAGTGAATAGCTGAGATCCTGTAGTACACAAGACAGCTTCCACAGCAGAGAATGATCTAGATGAGCACTGGTGGCTCATCTTGTAATCCTAGTTACTCAGGAAGCTGAGATCTAAGGATTGAGGTTTTAAGACTTCTTGGGCAGGAAGCAGAGCTGTGGCTCAAGTGGTAGATCACTAGCCTTGAGCACAAAAGTTTAGGGAAAGCATCTAGTCTCAGAGTTCAAGCCCCAGAACTGAACACACACACACACACACACACACACACACACACACACACAAGAAAAATCCAACTCAAATGTGAATAAAGTACATTGAGAATCCCTGAGCTTATGGATCCAAGACTGCCTGTTCACTCTGTGGCTCACCTGTCCTTCCTGTAAGATAACCAATAGAGGTATACAAATAGGAAAACACAGAAAAGGAAAGAAATAGCCAACTAAGTCGATCTTATGCCCAAATAATCAATGCAGAACATTTTGGAAAAGTGAGCTGAAGATGGCTTAGGCCAAAGGTTCAAGGGATCCTCCACCTTTCTTAAAGCCCACAGATATACACCATATATTCAGCTGGCCAGCTGCAAAGATGTGGGACAGAAAGTTATTGTGGCAGAAGAGAGTCCAAGACTAGTTCTCTAGTCCCAGTATAGCGCTTAGCCTTCTCCCTACTGCAACTATTAGGACAAAGGAAATAGAGTAAGTTGCTCTCAATGTACATGGACTTCTACTTCAGTAATTCAAGCTTCCAAGCAAATAATGTCTTAGAACATATCCCGCTCAGACTCGTATCTCTAGTCCAGGAGGAAAGGAAAAGGCAGAGTAAGAGGCCTTGAGAAAGTCCTTTCCTTGGATTCCTTCTCTGGAACATGAGCAGATTACAAGTGTTCAACACAATAACCCTGTCACTAGGAAATCAGTCAGTAAGGGATAGTAATTCATGCCTATTTTCCTTGTTAGGTTTATCTTTTATAAGGTACCTAAAGGACAAGACAAGGAAGGTGGAGAAACTGGGCTAGAGTATCTGTACCTAGACTCCACAATTAGAAGATGGAGACAGAGTGAGCAACTAATGAATACCAACAGAAGTGTATTGGGAAGGACCTTACAACAGCTATATGAAGCATATGGCTCCAAGGTACGTTTCAGTTGTCATTTATTTGAATCATACAAAGTAGATTAAACAGATTCTATAGCTTCTCAAGGTACTTTTAGGGAAATTTTTCTTTTTATTCACCCACTCTACCCCCAATCCAAGTTACTTGAAGAAAACTAATTCCAAACTAGCACAGGATAACTCACTGCATCAACCTAGGACCTAAGAAAATATGTCCCCATAATCTATGGTAATGCCAAATTGTTGGTTCACTTGACACCAATTCCAGTGGTATCACTGGGCTTGTATATTGTCAAGTCTGTGAGATTTTTCATTTAGCTTCTCCGAACATGGAAGTCTACAACCCTTTTAACCTGAGTTGGTTATTATATTCTTGGTTAGAAAAATAAACTTAATGTGTTGAAAGAGAAAAGAAAAAGTTCCTGACCAGATCTTCCCAGAATCCTTTCACATTGCGACCAAAGGCACACAAATGGCTTCTTACCACATTCAGGGTCTGCTTCTTGGATAATTATCAGATTTCTTCAGAGAAAGATGCTACACATGTCATTCTGTCTCCATGATTAATGATTGGAAAACAAGTGTATGAAAATAGCATGGTTTACTGGCTATGATCAAATACAGTAGCCAGGAATGCTACCGACTATGCTGCACATCTTTAAAATGCTTTTAAATTCCATCTGATAATTATGTAACTGCAAAAGACTCATCATTGATTTTTCCTATTTTAATTATTTTACTGAGATTTTTTTTAAAAAATCAACATTGTTAGCTTTGATAAAAGTCACTGACTGAATCATGACACAAATGGAATAGAAATACCCAGAACAAATTCAAACAAGTTTCTAAAACATAAAAAGACACTCAAAATAACCTTATTATGCATTAGGGATTTAGATGTTTGGAGAATTGACTCACATTTTGCCTTATCAGAGGAAATCCAATGCTACCCATTAGTTTTCATCACTTTTTCTAAGAAAGGAAATGCCATGTTAGAAAAGTAATGGCACTTTAAGAAATGGCTTAAAAGGGGGAAAACTCTTATATCAGAGAGGAAGAGGTTAATGAGAGCCCTGGTTAAATACAAGCTATACCTGTTCAGAGAAGTGCAAAATAGTAGAAATCTGATCCTGATTGTTGCATTGCTGTGCCCGTAATATCAATAGAAACAAACTCCAAGTGTAATTCTTAATTATTCCTATTTTATTTCCTGAATAAACTATTCAGTACTCCTGTATCATATACGGGAATATACATATACTTGTTTTCTAATCAACCCAGAAAAATAGCAATATTGCCTTCACATAGATCATAATGCATATAGCACCAGTCACATGACTCAAAAGCAAGCATGTTTGAGCATAGCTAACCCTCCCCTTTAATTGTGCAGGTCATAGAGTTCATTATGATATAGGAGGATGATTGTCTTTTCATGGGTATCAGTGAAAGTTCTATATTGATGGCTGGGCAGCTGATTGAAGTATTGTAATGACTTGTGAGTCATTTTTTTTATTTATGTCATTATTTATGTCATTATAATCCTAATATTTTCCTATAGACTAATAACACAGCCTATCTCGTATACAATGATGGGGTCCCAAAATCTATGAATTACAGCAGAAAGTATGGACACACCAAAGGTATGACTATGGTTCTTGGTTTCTTCTGCTTATTAGCAATCAACATTTTTTAAGTCTTTTATCTTGATCATTATGTTAGGCAAAAATATAGCCTTTGTCTTCAAGAGATTTTTGACTTATTAAAATGGGCAATTCTGTATAACAAGTGGGGTAAGGTAATTACATAATTTGACTTGGAATAAATGCCCTTTTCAGAATCCTATTTTATTTCTTAATATGTTTATGAGCAAAATCCCATGTACAAACTACTTGAATACCAACTAATATTTATTTATATTCGATACAGTCACGTATGTGTGTGTACACACAGACACCAACAAATCTATATTATATATGTATGTATTTATGTGTATGTGTATGTTTAATATATACATTCACCTTTCAGTTAGGTCTTTTGGGTTATATCTACATTAAATAAAAATTCATGCTTCACAATGTGCAGCTCCATTTAAAATAAAATTTTTTGAAAAAGTGTTTTAGGTTTTTATATAACAGCAATTTTTTTTAATTTTATTTTATTTTATTTGTGAACATACTGTACAGAGGAGTTACAATTACATGGGCAGGATAATGCGTACATTTCTTACCAAGCATTGCAGCCTCCTCCTTTGTTTACCCTTCACATCCCTTCCCAGCCTCCCCCCTCCCCCCCCATTCCAATCTTTCTCCCCCCCCTTCCCCCACCCGCACCAACGTTGTAAAGCTCGGATAACAGCAATTTTGTTGCATATTATTAAATATAGTACCTTTTATTACAGTAATCTTTGTCACTGTCTCTTTAAATTATGCCTGTATAAATGCACATAATAGAAAAATTCAAAATACTACATAAACACATGTAAACTTTTCCCTACTTTTCTAAAATACTTATGCTAAAACATAATTACTACTTTCAAAGTGTTTTTCAAATGACCATGTCATGAATAGCTATCTGTGACAATAAATAATCTTTATAAGGTTCCAAATTCAAGTGCCTTCAAGGAGCAAGCAGGTAAAGTGATCAGGTAAACTAAACTGTAGGTACCTGGAAATTGCATGCAATGTCTAAAGGGAGAAGTTACTTCTCACCTTGTCTTATCTGGATACAATTTTCAGAAGCTATTGGAATTAGTCTGTGGAAATTCACCCCAACTTTTAAAGGTTGAAATCAAAGTTTTAAAAATGCAGGCCACTACTTCAGATAGAATACTCATGTCACTCAGTTACACTAGAGTAGGGGATGTTTGTTGTTGTCACTTTAATTTTTAGGTTTAAAAAAAATGAAGTATCAAAAATTTCCTTGTTACTCTTAAGTTAAATATCTGTAAGTCTCTTGGAAGGCATTTCTGTGTTAAATGATATTGAAATGACTTAAGCCTTTAGGTCTTATTAAGATTTCAAGTAGCATGTTTGGAACTGGTCACTATTTGGAAAGAGAAGCAACATCCTGCCAAATTGAAGACTACTTTTTAAGTAATAAAAGAGAAAAGGCTGGCATGTAAACTTTTAAATAATACTTCATGTGCTTCTGTATTTACTTTAACTGTCACTTTCCCAGTAAAAATGATTTCACTTATATAGGCAGTCTTATGGGTCTGGCTAAAGTTCCATAAATTACATCAAAATAAAACTCAATTTTATTTTATCCTTTTTGTATTGTGAAACTGGAAACTTGATGACATTGTAAATTATCAGCTGGCTTTTCTGAATATAAAGTGTGAAAACACAGAACAGTATTTTGATCTATTTGATGATTTTGTGGGGTTTTGGAAGCATTAATGAGCATGTACATAGAAATAGTGACTGCTTGAATACTGTACTTATTTGCAGTCTTTCAGTACATCAAGATTCTTGTATATTTTAAGGGTATAATAAAACACATGTGAGTTGTATTTAATAAAAAAAAATATAATGCAGACCTAATAAAACTTATCTACAAGCTCCATTTGGTCTTTAGACTGTTGATATACAACCCATGATTAAGAATGTAATTTGTAATGCCTGTCAAAAGTCATGGGAATTGAAAATTTGATTTAGTCAAATTCTCCTCCTGATGGTCCTATTTACATATAACCATTGTTATAAAAATGCTGTATCTCGCTAATATCTCCTCAAGAAACCCCTCTCCACATTTCTACTCTACTCTAATAGTTGCTGCAAGGGTTTGGGAAACAGAAAACAAGGTTTAATGTGAAGTTGGGGGTCGGGGAGGGTGGTTCTTTTTAACAATAGATACCCTAACATCTGGGGCATTCATACTGGGATTTGGGAGTCCAGCTAAAAGAACACATTCATGTGGGCAGAGGGGAGTATTTGAAGGTTATCCAGATCTGTTAGGCAACAGAACTTTCAAAATTTTCCATGGTGACATAGGTATTGATCCTATTTCTACCCAACAGTATGCATTTTTGAGGCATTTCTCTTTGAAAAAGAAATAATTAGTGGGCATTTGGCTTCCACTCTGACAATGATGCAAACACGAATGGATTTTAGGTGTGCATGTTATATGCAAACTAAGAAGACTAGTTAGCATACCAAACCTATGCTGATACATTTTTAAGCACAAAAATAGTCAGACATCTGATGGATAAAGCTCTTTTTGCCATTGCAGTATGATGAAAACCTTTCTGTTTTCTTTCCTTTCTGGCTTTCATTTTAATATGCTCTGGAGAGTTTTGCTAAACATTATTAACAAGGATAGTTTAGCATGACTTCGAGTCTCTCTTTTTCTTGCTCTCACTCTTTTATCTTACCTGTAGAATCAGGTAACTCTTCAATAAATGAGCATCTGATTCTTAAAACACAATGCTGCAAGAATATTTCCTCATGTGATATTGTCTCTTTTACCTCTGTTTTTAAGAAGGCACTTGAAAATAGCTCCTGTGCTTCCCAGTGAAGACACTATCTGAAGCTTGCCAGGTGACTGGATAGTTTTAACAAGGACAAATTCCAATTTAGCAAATTTGCATTCTGCCAAAACAAATTTTCCTTGTCGTTTCAACATGCAATTCATCTTAACTCTTCCCAGGGCACCTTCTCTGACTCCCTTTCTGTGGTATCTTATTATCAATAATGGGCATTGTAATATGTGCCTGATTTCTTTTTGAAGTCTTTGAAAATTGAGCATGATCCTTGTGATTATTAGCCTAGTAAAACAGTAGCCTAAAGCATAAACAGGTTTAAATGTTACCATTTTATAAGGAGCTTTTTATTCCCCTTCTAATTTATCTGCATTAAATGTATCTTTGATAGGTTTGCTGCTGTGGAACAGAATCCAGGGTTTCTGGCTGATTCATTCTATTCCAGGGTTTCCTCCAATTCCTGAAGAAGGCTATGATTATCCATCCTCAGGAAGACGAAATGGGCAAAGTGGCATCTGCATAACTTTCAAGTACAACCAATATGAAGCAATAGGTAATACAAGAGTGTATGAAAAGGAGACAACAATGTTAAAGAAAGAAGTGGGAAGTGTACTAATAAATATGTCATCTTATCTGTTAATCTATTCATAGACCCTCTGATACTTAGATTCTAAATACTGGCTCCACTGTAGTGAGACAATGAAAAGGCTCATTACTGGTTCTCAGTTCCATTGTATTGAGGCTGAACAGTAGTAGTATAGGCCTATTGATTACAGACTTCTGTATTTTTCATGAGGAACAAGAATACACCAAATGTATACCAAAGTATAATTGTGTGTATTGTGTAAGAGAGAAATACTGGATTAAAAATATGGCTTTCATCTTTCTTTTTTAATTTTTGCAGTCCAAATGTTGCCTCTATACTGCCAACATCACACCTCTGAAGCAGAAAACCTCTTTTAAGCTCTAAGGGCAAATAGTCCAAAATACTTGTATCTGGCAAACTTTGGTGTGGGAGGAAGAAACATAGGGATATCCATTTAATGAGCAAGTTGCTAAATAGCAAACTTGCCTCTAGATATAGGAGGTTGAGAAAATGTTTCTTATCCAATCCCCATCTTATGACAAGGGTCACTGAGCTCTCATCTAAGTCAAGCTCTAATCTAAATATTTAGTTAGAGTGTTAAGTACCATAGAGATAAGGCTTGTATTCTGGTGAGTTGACTTTCATTGAGCTTAAATAATTAGTACAAGAAGTTTTGTACTTTTATATATGTGTATATATATATAATATATGTAATAGATATGGAAAACATGCGGCCCCTGAGTCCAGATGATATAAACATGAATGTTATCTCCATCAATTTACAACTGTAGACATGTCCCATGAAGTCTTCATTTATCTATTCAATGAGGATGATGGTAACAATAGAATCTACCTAAGAATGAGGTTGTCCTGAGAATTAAATGAGAAAAAAACATGTAAAATATACAGAATTATATATGGACAAGAGGAGGGGCTCAATAGGTGCTAGTCACCATAATAAAAACCATTTGGAGGGCATTGCCTAAATTTTAAAAAACAGTGTTTGGAACTGGGAAGGTGGATCAGTGGTAGAGTGCTTGCCTTGCATGTATGAGGCCCTGGGTTCAATTCCTCAGCACCACATAAGCAGAAAAGGCCGGAAGTGGTGCTGTGGCTCCAGTGGTAGAGTGCTAGCCTTGAGCTGAAGAGCTGAGGGACAGCGCTCAGGACCAGAGTTCAGGCCCAGGACCAACAACAACAACAAAAAAAAAGTGTTGGGGGAGGGGAAATGTTGTGTATGTGATGAGGAAAGGGGAAGGTGTTGATTTTTTAATCTATAGTAAAAGCCATAATAGAAGTAGGTATTTCCATTTATGCCCAAATTCTCCACTTTTATTTACTGTTTTTTATTCTTTTAATTCAGATTCTCAGCTGTTGGTCTGCAACCCAAACATCTATAGCTGTTCAATTCCAGCCATCTTTCACCAGGAGCTCGTCCACATGCCTCACCTGTGTGCCAGGTCCAGCTCAGCCAAGATCCCTGGCCGGCACCTCACCACACTGCAATCAGCGCAGGGACAAAACTTCCTCCATTTTGCTAAATCTGATTCTTTTCTTGATGGTATGAAACTCATCATCAAATACCATGTTTTATAACTCTCCTGTTGGACTTTGCCACCACTGTAGTACATACTTACGTTTGTCTCAGTTATTGTGAATGCCTGGCATTTCCCCCACTTCTTTTCTTACTTATCATTCCCAATTCATTGTGCACACTGCCTCTCAACTGATCATTGACCAAAACAGTTTCTACTAGTTCTTCACAAACATTTCTTTAAAATTCCCCATTGATTTCAGGAAAATACATTTAAGCACAGATTTATAAAGATCCTAGAACTGACCATATCCATCTCCAAAGTTCTTTTCAGGGCAAAAATACATTTTTTTCTCTTGATCTGGGGAAAAGATGACATTTGTGGATACCAACATTATCAAAGTAATGATGACAGTAGCTTTTATTTGCTTATTCCTTTAGGATTTAGGAGTTGTTAACCTATCCATTATCTTAATCATGTTATTATTCTTTGTGATATCAGGGCTGAGCGAAGATTTCTATCCCTTAGGATATTTTCAGTGACTTACGGAAGTGCAAATATCAACCTCACTGTTTTTCTCTTTCTGAACCCTAGACATCTTTGCAGCTTGGATGGCTCAACAGTTGAAGACACATTTGCTAACAGAAACCTGGCAGCGGAAGAAGCAAGAACTCCCTTCAAATTGTTCCCTTCCTTACCATGTCTACAATATCAAAGCCATTAAGCTTTCACGACAATCTCATTTCAGTTCTTCCCAAGATCATGCCAAATGGTGTATTTCCCAGAGGGGCACTAAAAACCGCTGGACATGTATTGGAGACCTAAATCGAAGCCCGTACCAAGCTTCCAGAAGTGGAGGGTTCATTTGTACCCAGAACCGGTATATTTACCAAGCATTTCAAAGACTAGTTTTTTATTATGAAGATTGTGACTGGGCACTGTGACTGTAGCTGGGCATCGTGGCTCATGTCTGTAAGCATAGCTACTCCAGAAGCTGAGATCTGAGGAATACAGTTCGAAGCCAGCCTGGGCAGGAAAAATCCGAGAGATTCTTATCTCCAGTTAACAACAAAATTCTGAAATTGGAGCTATGGTTCAAGTAACAGAGCGCTATCTTTGAGCAAAATTGTTCAGGGTCAGCTCTAACGCCTCAAGTTCAAGCCCCAGTACTGGCACGCGTGTGCACACGCGCGCGCGCACACACACACACACACACACACACACACAGACTATGAGTAGATTTGGTGTAAAGATACGTACACTTGCTGAGAACACTTATAATAGCATTTCTTGCATTAGAACCATTCTTTATATAGTAAAAGCCTCTAAATACACTCACAACTAAAATAATTTGGTCCATGTTTATCATTTAGTCTTCTAATTGGTTGAAACTTAGTGACTTTGTATTTATGGTATGGACATAAACTATGATACATGGCTAACTGATAACAGGAGTAATAAAGGGGAAAATTATTTTTTTCAGATTGCTCAACTCCAGTTGTCTGTGGATGGGCTGATCCTGTGAATTAAATTTCATCTCTTCCACAAAGACTCTGCTTTTTTTATTAATAAATTTTTTATTGTGAAAATAATGTACAGATGGGTTACAATTACATGAGCAAGGTAATAAGTACATTTCTTATCAACCATTGCTGCCTCCTCCTTTGTTTCCTCTTACCATCCCTGCCCTCCCATCTCACCCCCTACTAAAGTTGTAAAGTTCATTTTTCTGACATAACGTTTTGTACATCTCATTGTTGCAATGGGTCCACCTGTATCCCTATTTAAACAATTTGTTTTTTCCCTTCCCCTCCCCAAATTATACCAACAGCAAATACAGTGAAAACAGGGGTTATACCATGGGGGAGGGACATACAAAGCAACAAAGAAATCATCTTATGAATATGTTAGAAACAATCGCAAAAAAGGAAAAACATTTGAGTCCTTATCTTGGGGTTTATTTAGCCCAACATCAGCTTATCTGACCATTTCTGTTTGTCTCAGATATATACTAGTTATTACAAATAAGGGAAACCATAGGACCTATGTTTCTTTGGGCCTGGCTTACTTCACTTAATATAATTCTGACTTTCCTTCCAATCCCTTTCTGAAGAAAAACAGCTATCTTTCCATACTTTCAAATTATTTGATCATATTTTTCCTAAAGTTCTTTCTCATTGGTTTATGGTTTAGTTTTGTTTGTTATTTTTGCAGTTGCTACTTATTAATTCTATGGTCTTAGGCCATTCATTTCAAATTTTTGAGCCTTGTAATTTCAGTCTGTGAAAGGGAGAAAAACATCTAGGTAAGTTCAAATATCTAACACAGCATCTGGCACATAGATGGTACTCAAAAATATGACCAATGCCTACCTAACAAAAATAAGAAGACAAAAATAAGTTCTAGAAATTAGCAATATTTTAAAAGTTTTGAAGTTAGGTTAAGAAAGAAGGTAAAAGATAGGCTGGAAAGGAAGGTGGCTCAGTGATATAGTGCTTGCCTTGCATGCATGAGGCCCTGGGTTCGATTCCTAGCACTATATAAGCAAAAAGAAAAAAGCCAGAAGTGGTGCTGTTGCTCAAGTGGTAGAGCACTAGCCTCGAGCTGAAGAGCTAAGGGACAGTGTCCAGGCCCAGAGTTCAGCTCCCATGACTGCCAAAAAAAAAAGAGGGGAAAAGAGTAATCTAAGTGTAACCTATGATTCTGGGAAATAAATGTAGCATACAGAAATCAGAATCAAAGCTAATGAACTTAACTTCAGTAAGCATTCTTATCCCTAAAAACTATCAACAATAGTAAAAATACTAATTAGTAACTCCTAACACTAATAAACTTTTGAGAACTAATTGCTAAATAAAGTTTGGGATGTAATTCCCAACTTCAGGAAGCTTACAATCTAATAAAAATAATCAAATATTACCTGAGATATACTTACTGAGCATTTACAATGTCATAAATACTTCACCCATACTTTTGTATTTAATTTTCAAAACAATTCTGCCTAGTGCAAAATGTTTTCATCCCAATATCACTGACAAAAAAATGGAGGCTTACAGAAATTCAGTAATCTGCCTAACATATATATATATATATACATATATAAATATATATATATATGACTTCTGAACCAAGAGATAATAAAAGGAAATATAAGAAAACACCTTACTTAAGCTCTCAATATCAATTAAAAAAATCATGGACCTGATGGTTTGATGACAAGCAAAGAAAAAATATCTTCCTTCAGAAACAAGTAAAAATGATGAACATTTTGTACACTATTTAGATAACTTACACACAAGCAACACTAAAATAAAATAAAAAAGCGTACCCTCTCAGAAAACACTCATGTATAAATAATTCTCCAAAACTAAGATTGTTAGAATTACAAAAATTTCATGATGCTAACTTTAAAAGCAAGGAGTCAAACTTAATCCTACAATATGAAGAAGCATAAGTGAGAAGTAAAAAAAAAAGGTAAAGTGAACAAACTCTGTTGAACTAAAAAAATCCATAATACATCTCTTTTCTGAAAACGTATGTCCAGATCTTCTAGAAAAGAGGTTATATACCAAGCTAACCATCACATCCCATAGAATGAAGATGCAGGACTATGACAAAGAGAAGAAAAGGAAGAGGTTGGCCCAGTGGAGTTGTCCATGAAGAGTGTAGTTCTTACTGAAGGAAGATGGGAAAGGGCTAAACTAACTCATCCCTTGAGAAAGGGAAAAATATGCTAGAAATCTATTCATCAGCCCTGTTTTTTCAAGGATATAAAATACTGTCTCCAGAAGAAAACAATATATTTGAGTGTTTTGTTGATTCCAAGAATGCCAAGTTGAAAGGATATGGTTGGTATCAATTAATCTTACTCTGTCCCAGCCTCCATAATGAGCCAAAGGAACAATCTACAAAACAGGCAACCTCTTCCTTACATATCTTACACTTCACTCCGTCCTTAGCTCTCTTCCTTAAACTCTTTTAAATGATGTAATTTGAATCTTTAATGTCTTTGAATGTCTATGTGGCTCTACTGGGAGGCTACAGAACCTGTAAGAGGCAGAGCTTACTGGGAGGTCTCTAGGTCTTTGGAAGTGTACCCATGAAGATATGTTTATAGGATCTAGTCTCTTTCTCCCTCTGTCATCTTTATTTCCTGTCCATGGGGTGAACAATTTTACTCTATATGTGCTCCTGCCCTCATGTGATGCCACAGTACAGGCCCAAAACCAAGGAAAGCACAATTAATCATGGACTGAAACCTCCAAAACCAGACTTAACCTTTTGTCTCTATAAGTTGACCATATCAGATATTTATTATAGCAATGGGAAATTGACTGATACAATGAAAAACACATATATTAAATTTGTGCATGGCAAATAGGTAAAAGAATATCAGATCCAAAAGAGATTATGACATTGGCTTCCCAGGAGATCTTGAAAAGACTTGTAAAATGGGTTAAAGCAAATAATGGCAAATATAATAAGTATAGACGAAAGATTCTTCTCTTCAATCAAAATAAAACAAAACACAATAGTCACCACAGAGGTATAGGCCAAAGGGTAATGTGATTTAGTAGCAGATACTGTAGACTTGATTCACAGAGATTTTACAGAAATTCAACATAACTAAACAAAGTGATTACCTAGATTTTTTAAAAGAAGAAATGAATACAGTCTCCAATGTGTGTCAAAATGAGTGAGGATATAGGCTCTCTAGTTGTTCAATGTTAGTCTACCTGTTACTTTTGTAAGAAGTATAGAAAAAAGGGGGGGAAGTGTTTGTTGCTCTGTATGTTCCTCCCTGATGGTATAACCCCTGTTTTCACTGTATTTAATGTTGGTATAATTGGGGGAGGGGAAGGGAAGAATCAAAATGTGTAAGTAGGGATACATGTTGCCCCATCATAACAATGAGATGTAGAAGACACTGTGTTGAAAAATGAACTTTACAATTTAGGTGGGGGAGGGAGGTGTACTTGTGGAGATGGGAGGGAAGGAATGGTGGTGGGG